ACCCCGTTTTGTGCATAAGGGATCTCAACCGTTGATCATTCTTGATCCGACGGTTTTGAACTAGGGGTATCTTCAAAATATATATGTCTGAACACTTCTTCCACCCCCCCTCTCTTATCACCTCAGAGACCCCAGAGTAACGCCGCCCAAAACCACCGTCCGTCGTCTGCCGAAAATCGCCCACGGCTGCGGCCGGCGGCCAAATGCCACCAAAATTACACCCTTGAATCTCCTCCACCTCCTTATCCCAAATCCCCAATCCATTTAACTCGAATCCCTTCGAAACTCTTCGAATTTTAGATCAAAGAAGCGGAACCCTAGCGCCGCCCAATTTTCTCCGGTGGTGGCACCACCTCCAAACCCCACCAAAATAACACCGCATAACCACCCTTACCCCTCATACTAGTTCCATCATTGTTTTCCCTCAAACCATCCCTGAACTCCTCAAATATTAAATCAAAGCTCTGAACCCTAAAAATCCCAAACCCCAAATTGAAGCTTCAGCGAGGTTTAAGGTCTAGTTTGACCTTATTCGTGTGTCTTTGACAAGAATACACGATTAAGGTCAAGCTTGGCCTAAATTTGAGGATGTGCAAGCAATTCGAGCAATTTTCAAAAATCTGATTAATGAACTGAAATTAAAACTGACCTAATAAATAGACTATTTATACTAATTAAAGAAAAAGGGCTTCTTAAAACTAACATTCATATAAAAAGGACGACTCTGAAGAAATTGGGAAAGCAAAAGAGTCCAGAAGGAGAGGAAGAGGTAGATGACAATAAAAGATAGAAAAATGAAAGAAACAATAAAGAAAAACTAACAAAAGAAAACAGAGAAATACCTAAAGTGGCTCAGTCAAACGGGAATTTGTTTTCATTTTTATTCAGATAATTTGGTTTTGATTATGCTTGGGCTTGAGGTTCATGCCTTTGAGTTCAGGTTTGGGCTGGTTTTCTAAATAGATTCGACCCAGGGTCAACTTGACCCATAACCCATTTGAGGTTCAGGGGTAAAAATAGGGTAACTAAGGGGTAACTTGGGTAGTTTACTTAGGGAATCACTGAATAACAGCCTTAAGAAGCTTTTTAGAAGCTGAAAATAGTTTACATGGAAACAAGTTAGAAATTTAGGGACTAAACTGCAAAAATAAAAATTGTGGAAGGTCTAGAGGGCAAAAAAAATGAACTATTTCTGCTGCCCTAATAGCTTACCCATAAAGGCATTGCTAATGAGAGTTGAATGGGGGAGATATGAGAAGGAGATAGAGAAAAACTCAGAAAATATAAACAGCTAGTTTTCACTGTTTTATTGAGCTTTCTTCAGAACTTTTTTTTAAAATTTTCTGAAAGCAAAGGTTCTTATTCGGATATTCAAAATGGATTGATGTTTGATTGTTGAAAGTTTTCGGTTCAAGCTCGTTGAGGGTTACTCTTCCATTGGGTTTCTGAGCTGATTTCCTTGGTTTTAATTGTTGAATCTGGTTGGTTTCCACTGCTGGTTGCATGCTGCTACTACTGCTGATTCTTCATTTTCTTATTTTGTTCACTTCCAGGTACTCTTTTGGATCTAAAATGACCAACTTTGCTTGAGTATATGTGGAAGTTGTTTATCCCTACCTGAAATCAATAAAAAATGTCATGAATTCGAATTCTGATTCCATTAATTTATTGAAGTTACTTAGTTTAGTTTAGTTTTCTTATACATCTTTCTATTTTTGCTTTAAGTGTGGAATAATATAATAATGCCAGTCTGTTGATTTAATGTGTTGATTATCAAATATGTATGAAAGGTCATAAGGAATGGATTTGTGTAGAGGTAGCATGTAGTGTTCCTGAAGATTGCAGTGAAGTTGGGTATTAGATTCAAGTAGGTTTAAATTAGTTTCAATGGTTCTCTCATAGGTTTAAATTTGTGTACTGTATTTCTATGTTGATTGATTCTTCAAATAAACTAAGATAGAATAGCACTAAATCCATATGTAAGTTGGTACAATGGGGAAGCATAGATATTAGAAATAATGGTTTTTGTTAAGTCGAATGGATGTTTGAATTTTTGGATTTCGAATAAATGCCTTTGTCAAACTATTTTTCTAGTTTTAATTTTAGTGTCACAGATATGAATCTAAGTTATATGATCCCAGCATGAAGTTTTCTCTTGTTAAATTAATTTTGGCCAAGTTTCATTGTCACATTCCATGAATGGATTATTTTTCTCAATTAATGTTTGTTAATTAATAAGATCTGAAATTGAATCATTGTATATGGGTAACCATGTTTGGGGAATCGATGTCAAGCCCAAAGGGATAAAATTCCCTCTTTATTAACGTACAACTGGCCTTCGTTTGAGAGATGGGCCTGTTTCGAGCCCCCAAGCTTGCAATGACTTTTGGTTTAATTTTAATTTGGTACACGTTAAAAATCTGACTACTTTTAGATGTTGTGGAGGTTCGATCCGTGAATCTCTGAACATTCTACTTGTGCATGTCCCATACAAATTGGGTTCTTTGATTGGGCTTGAACATTTCTTTAAAATGAAGTATTACTTTCTTTGGCCTTCAACAAATCATTTAGGCAATATTTGAGTAATTAGGAGTCCTCAGTTTTCTCTAAACAATTATTGGTTTTTTTAGATCGAGGTGCGCCATGTCAAACAAAAATGACAATTGCATGGCCCTCATTTAACTAATCTTGTGTTGATCCTTAGAATTCGAGGTGTGCCGTTTAGTTGAAATTTCATGGCCCTCACAAAGTTGCAAACGTGTAGTCACTTTAAGTGCGTTATTTTAATAATTTACCTCCCTAAACTCAGGTGTGCATTTCATGTGACCCAAATCCAAATCCTAACAATGTTAAATAAAATATGTCGCGGATCACGGGTTCATTTCATGTGACGTGATCCAAAGACGTGTTTTAAATAACGTTGAACTTTCCTAAAAAATACTTAAAAGCGGTTATTAAGTTTAAAATTATACCATAAGCTAAAAATGTATTAAAATCAGATAATATGCCAATTATGATAGTTTAAGCGACCGTCCTAGAATCACGGAATCCGGGGGTGCCTAACACCTTCCCTCGGGTTAAAAGAATTCCTTATTCAGAATTTCTGGTTCGCAGACTTCAAAAAGGAAAGTCGAATTTTCCTCGATTTGGGATTTAAAATAAACCGGTGACTTGGGACACTAGAAAACAAACCATCCCAAGTGGCGACTCTGAATAAAATTGAATAAATAATCCCATTTCGAATAATGTCACTTAAATTGGAAAAACTCCCTTATATACTACCCTTCGGGGTGGTGTGTAAAAAAGAAGGTGTGATAGCTCTGGCGACTCTGCTGGGGAGCCAAACCCGAACTTCGGTTCAGGGTTTAAATATTCGAGCTTAGAATAGCTGTTATGATTGGCTTTATCTATTATCTTATTTTCTACATGTTTGAGCCTAATGTGATAAATGCTTTTACCACTTTGATATTTTGTGAATTGTATATAAACTGCTACGAAACTCTCCCTCTCTTTGAGTCTTCTAAATCATGGAGAAAGGTGCACTTCGTGTGACTTCTCTTCTGTCTAGAGTCTTATCCCATTTTAGAATGAGGTTCAGACAAGTTGAAGAGCCAGTGAAGCTTCTGTATTCCCGGTACGCTGCCCCTCCCCGGCTCGAGTTGTCCGCTCGGGTAAGTCAGGTCTAGAACAATAAACTCAGGTTTTAAACCTAATATAACAAAGCTTCATGCCAGATCCCTAGTAGGAACGTTTGTTTGCATCACGTGCATTTGACTTAGGAGACTCAACACAGGGGTTGGGTCTGTCTAGGATAGGTGTACCTGAAATGAAAAGACCATCCTGATGCATCCTGCTTTCTCGAGCAGTACACACTAAATAAGCACAGTTAATTAAGAGCTCTTCAATCAACAATAACAAAAATATAGTTGAACAAGTAAAGAAAGATCAACGACAAATTTATATTAAATGCGGTGGAAAATCATCCTTCAATAGGTTCTATCAAACCCTAGATGAGAGAGTTAGCTACTCATAAATATATAAACAATCATCATGATGTTCAAAGACATTAAACTTCAAAGTAAAGAGATAAACATGGGAAAAACTCGTTTGATTCTTGCTCCATAGTGGTCTGTAGCCTTTTCCTTCTCCAAAATAATGTCCAATCCTTTATCAACTTGTTTAGGGAGTAACATGTTTGGGTCAAGGTCCTTGAGTCCAAATCCGGGTCGGAGTCTTTTAATTCACGCACTTTTGATCACCGGGCTATAGACCTCGCGAGACCAGGCTTATAGCGCAGTCAGCCTGGCCACAGAGCTGGCTATGCCTAGTCTGTAGCGCAGTCAAATTGGCTATGGAGCTGGCTATACTTGGCCTGTGGCACAGTAAAGCTGGCTACAGAGCTGACTACGCTTGGCCTGTTGCTAGGCTTGGGTACGTGGTGTTTTTTTTGTGCTCTTTTCTTGCACTTTCGTCCTCTTTTCGTGCAACTTTCGTTCGACTCTTTCTTCCGATGCTACTACACATAAAACAAAATAATTTAGCTCAAATATCGCACAATGACTCATTAAACCAACAAAATATAGGGCGAGTAATGTACTAAAAGAATAACATTTTGGCCAGACATCATATAACAAGTATTGTAACTTATAACAATTTTATTTTGTCCTTGAATATCGATAATTTTTGGAAAAAGTTAATTCTTCAATAATTGGTAACAAATTCATCAAATAAAAAACAAAAATGAATTTATTTTGCACATTAAGTTGAAAAAAAATAAGAAAAGATTAAAGAAAAAATATACGTAATTTTTATTGACTAAAAATACCACCTAAAATGAAACATAAAAAGTAAATTTCTACATTGTTCTTGGGGGGCATTTGCATCTATACCCGCTTTTTGTGTCAGATTTTAACTTGTGCCCGCTTTGCAAAATAAATTGCAAGCGTACCCGCTTTTTCACATAACTTCAGCACACGGGCTGAAGTAGCAAAGTCAATCACGTAAAACTTCAGCATTCTAGTAGCCGGGCCTGAAGTTCAGCTCTAGAGCTGAAATTTTTGTGTTGTAATTGGCTACTTTTAACTTCCTCTCTGTAATGCACATAACACATGAGTATCTGACGAGCATGTTTACTTGACCAAAATGGGATATTTCTATAACCATTGTGTCATTGTCCGTGGGAAGTCGTTGCTTCCATGGTTCCCCATCCATCCTCATAAATGTATGCTCAGCAGCACCATTGTGAAACTCAAATTGGATTCTGCTGGCCTACAGATATATAATAGAGAACAACATTATAAATCCATGATAAAACCAAAGAGCATTAGCTTCTCTGTATTATGAGCACTTATTAACCAAAGAACTTAACAAAATGCACCAGAGAAACACATTGACGAATTGATCAAACATATTTCCATCTTAAGAATAAAAGCTGAGGTTATTAACTGCTACTCCCAGGGTGAAGAAAGATTTTCGATGCAAGACCAATAAAAAAAAATAGGCTCTGCCTTTTGTCTTTTGTTGAGAAGAGGAAAACGAAGGAGGAGAAGAAGGAGGAGAAAGGGAGCTGAAGTTATTTAAGAAGTGGGTACAAGTTAAAAGTTTTTAAAAAAAATGGGTATAGGTTAAATGGGGCGACCAAATAGGGTCAATACATAGCAATAACATTACTTATTACTATTATTTTGTTTTTTCCCGTCTCTACCCCTAGTATTCATAACCAATGCAAAGCAAACGTGTTATAGCGGCGTGTGCTATACGCAGATACGTAACCACTCTTTCTCACAAGTGCCAACAGAATAGCCAACAGCCCACTCTGCCCCTGGACTTTTGCTCCGTGAGCAACTATGATGTTTACTCACTGAACAGAACATTACGCGACCTTGTCAAGTATGGGTCTTTAACCTCTGCACTCCACCTGTTTGAAGAAATGCCTAAACGTGATGTGGTTACATGGAATATTATGATTTCTGGATATAGTCATTATGGGTTTCCAAGAAAATCAGTGTACTTGTATAATAAAATGGTTTCTCAAGGTATCAGGGAGAACTCGTCCACTTTGTCCTTTATATTGAGCATATGTGCTAACGCAGGTTTATACAAAGAAGGGCTTGAGATTTTCAGTAGAGTAGTTGTATTGGGATTTAGTATGAACTTATATATTGCCAGTGCACTTGTTAATATGTATATACAAATGGGTCTTATAGATGTTGCTTTCAAAGTGTTTTATGACTTACCAAAACGAAACTTACCTGTATGGAACTTGGTTTTACGTGGAATTAGTGAAGCGGGTAAGCCCAGTGAGTTCTTAAGATTGTATGGTGATATGAAGTTGGAAAATGTGGAGCCTAATGGGCTTACAATTTTTTATTTGATTCGAGGTTGTTGTAAAGAGAGACTTCTTGACAAAGGCAGGGAGATACATTCCCTTGTGATTAAGACGGGGTGGTTAGAATCAAATATCTTTTTAGCTAATGCATTGGTGGATTTTTACTCTGCTTGTGGCATTTTGGTTGATACAAATAAAGCATTTCAGTGTATTCCACCTCAGGATGTTATTTCATGGAATTCAATGGTTTCTATTTATGCTGCCAAAGATTTGTTGCATGAAGCTGTTCAGGTCCTAGATGAGATGAGATCGTGGGACAAACACCCATCTGCTATGTCTTTCGTGGCATTGTTGAATTTATCAAGTCGCAAAAAGGAACTGCTCTTTGGAAAACAAGTGCACAGTTTTGTTATGAAATTGGGCTTTGATTATGGAAATGTACTCATTCAGTCGGCTTTGATTGATATGTATGGGAAAAATGATGACATAGAAAATTCAGTTTCTGTATTCCAGAGCAACCCTATAAGAAGCCTCGAATGTTGTAATTCAATGATGACATCTTTGCTGCATCTTGGTGTCCCCCAAGATGTGTTTGAGCTGTTCAGTTGGATGGTTTGTGAAAATATTACGTTTGATGAAGTGAGTCTGTCCTCAACAATAAAGGCATTATCATTCTATTCCTCTCCTAGCTTGGATAGCTGTGATTTGTTACATTGCTGTGCAATAAAATCAGGTTTTGATTTTGATATTATGGTATTATGTTCTCTGATTGATGCGTATTCAAGATCTGGACAGATTAGGTACTCTCAGAAGATTTTTGAAGCATTTCCTTCACCTAATATCATCGGTTTCACTTCAATAATTAATGCATATGCTCGGAAAGGAATGGGAAGTGAATGCCTTGGATTGTTTGAAGAAATGATCCAGAAGGGTCTAAAACCAGATGAAGTAACATTCTTATGTATACTGTTGGGCTGCAACCATTCAGGCCTAGTTGAAGAGGGGAAAAAGATTTTTGATTCAATGAGACTTCATGGGGTCTTTCCAGACAGGCGGCACTATTCATGTATGGTGGATCTTCTGGGCCGTGCAGGTCTAGTCATTGAGGCAGAAGAGTTGCTAAACCATGCATCATCGACAGGAGATTCTGTGATGTGGAGCTCACTTTTACGAAGTTGCAGTATTCATCAAAATGAGCATGTCGGAAGAAGAGCAGCTAAAAAGTTAATGGATCTTGAGCCAGAGGATCCTTCTGTTTGGTTACAGGCCTCAAATTTTTATTCTGAAATTGGGGAGTTCGAGACTGCAATATATATTCGAGAGGTTGCAGTTGCGAGTAAGATGAGCAGAGATATTGGCTATAGTTTAATTCGGCTCCATGAGTGCCATTAAATGCACTTGAATAGAAAGTGTATAAAAAGGACATATGGATGGCTAACTGGCTGTTTGATCTGCAGTACACTCTGGATAAGCTTTTTCTTAAAAAATGTATATCTACCAGAATGGACACTTCCTCTGCCTCTATACTTTTGAAGCAAGGAGGCCGTGCTGCTTGTTAACCAACTCCACTACCAAATACAAGTTGAAGAAGAATTTTATGTCTTATTTGGTCTCTCCAATTACTAGACAACCTCTGTCTAGTGCTTCTTTTTGCTTTTCCAGATTTTCACATTTGATGATGAGATAAATCTACTGCATAGATAATTTGACTGCCTAAAAGAGGGAGTTTTGAAGGTCGGTCCTGCAACATGTATTGCTGTATGGGTGAGAAAGAATCTAGAGGAGCACTTTTATTGATGAATAATATATTGAACCATGGCTGAGGAGTAAAGCAAAGATCTCTAAAAGGATATTCTTACACTTGAAGTGTGGGCATGTAGAAAATGCAACACCTTTATCTACTTTCAAGCCAAGCGATATAACCCCCCACTAAATCCTCTATTTTCAGCACTAATACATACATATAAATTAATACTCTATGATCTCCCTTGATTTATGTGAATCTAGAAATACAGAAGAAATCATGGCTAAGATACTCTTCTTGTTTTTTGTTTTGCTAATGGTGGCTCATGGAATTGCAATAATCAATTTGTCAGATGAAGTCATCCTGTCAGAGCTTGAGGATTTGGATGCAGAAGAAGGTGATGAAGCAGAGTCTTTTGACCTCCCCAAATGGGAAACTCATCGTGGAAACAAGATTCTTGTAAATGTGGATAGCTTTGGAGCTGTTGGCGATGGGGCTTCAGATGACACCAAGGTAATATGTTCTAATGTTTTATAAAAACTGAAATGTTCACCACAACTATATGCAGATCTACTTCTATGTGTTTTGGTTTTAGATTTTAGTCAAATAATGGATTAGAAAAGTGTTAGGCAAGTTGAAATATGATCATACTGTATTTACTTTATTCATAATCAAGGTTGTCTTTCATACTGATTGTTTTCAGGTTTCTAGTCTTTACTGTTTAATACTCTTCTAGGGGGAAGGGCAACATAGACGAACAATGGAATCTTTCTTGTGTTGTCGATTATTAATGCTGCATCCATGCAACTTGCACGTTACCTTCTTCCACTTTGTCATATGTACTATCTCAGGCTTTTGTTGATGCATGGAAACAAGCTTGTTCAACACCAAAATCAGTCCTCTTGGTCCCTGCAGGACGCTTTTATCTAGTAAATGCAACAAGGTTCCGAGGGCCTTGTGCAGGCAGATTGAGAGTCCAGGTTACATTAAATGCATTCTATTTCATGTGTTGTTTCAATTTATATCCTCCATTTTGCTAACATTACCCTAGAAGAAACTTATGCATATAATACTTGGTTGAAATCATTACTTTTTCGACTTCATCATAAAAAAGAAATCATTACTTTTTCGTGTATAGCATCTATTTAGCAAGCTCAACGTGCCTTATAATGGTCATAAATTTGAAACGTGATTAAAAAACAGATTGAAGGAACTATAATAGCACCGGACGAGCCTAAAAACTGGGACCCAAAGAATCCACGAATTTGGCTTGGCTTCTTTAACTTGGCTGGAGCTCTGTTCCAAGGAGGAGGAGTTATTGATGGATCAGGCAGCAAATGGTGGGCAGCTTCATGCAAGAAGAACAAGACTAATGTAACTGACACACATGCACTACTTATATGTTCTTTTCCGTTTTGACAAACACAGATGATAATCTTATTCTTTTTTGTTTTTTGTTTTTTGGGTTTTATCTCGATAACAGCCTTGCAAAGCAGCACCAACTGTAAGGAAGTGGAGAACCACAGGGATCTTACGTCTAACTCTTATCAGCATTGTGAAATCAACTTACACAAATTCTAATTGCAGGCATTAACTATATATGCAAGCTCAGGTATAAAGGTGAAGGGCCTAACAATCCAAAATGGCCAACAGATGAACTTTGCCATTTCTCGATCAAACTCTATACGAATAACTGGTGTTAAGGTTTCTGCTCCTGAAGACAGTCCTAATACTGATGGAATCCATATAACTGAATCAACAAATGTTGTACTCCAGAATTCCAGAATTGGAACAGGTTTCGACATCTCTCATATTATCTACATTCATAACTCCTTATTTGGCTGATTTTTGCCCTCAAGAACGAAGTTTGCAGTATTTTGTGTTCTCATCTATGGGATAAGATACAGAGTAAAGAGCAGTCCCTCTTTTGAATATAACATTTTGGTGCAATTGAATTGCTTTCTTAAATGTGTCTTTCATACAAGGTACTTCATATCTACCATAAATCTTGCCTTGAACTCTCTGCATCTGTCTCACTTTACTGTATGAAAAAGCCAGCTTGCAAACATGTATGAGCCTTCCTCTCATGCTCTGTGTTTTCTCAAACAAACTCGCACATGCACTGTTTTAATGAACATGGCTTTTTATATATCATGAATATACTTATGATACAAAGAATAAATACTGGTTACTTTCCTATCTTATTCAGGTGATGATTGTGTCTCAATTGTCAATGCTAGTTCAAATATCAAGATGAAGGGAATTTACTGTGGACCTGGCCACGGAATCAGGTAGCACATTTTGCCAGTTATCGATGCCCTGTTTTTAAAATTACCTTTAGAAGTTCTCAGAAGGGAGCTAGGAGTCGGTAAATAAACTCGAATTGTATGAAGGAATAAGCGAAAATATCATTCTCACCTTGTCTTCTAAACTGATTCTGTTGCATGAATGATGACTGGCAGCATTGGGAGCCTTGGTAAGGACAACTCTGTTGGTATAGTGACTCAGGTTGTACTTGATAATGCATTCCTCAGAGGTACCACAAATGGTCTGCGGATCAAGACATGGCAGGTATCTTTTAGTGTTGTGTAGCACTTGAATTCAACCCTTTAGATGGCATTACACACATGATCGTTTGAAAATTTAAGATTTTTAAGCTGACTTTACAACAGCTTTCCTTTTAATTAGCAAATAATTATAGACTCAGTGACCTTGTCATGCAAAAGATTGATTTATTTATACAAAATCCTAAGCCCCAATGAGGAAAGAGCTTGCCCAGTTCACATTGGCAATTATATTTTTTCTACTAATATAGAAATAATTTTTCTTTCCATCTTAGAATCAGAATGATAAAAATTTCTTGTTCTCTTAGGGTGGAGCAGGTTATGTCCGTGCAGTGCGCTTCCAAAATGTAAGGATGCAAGATGTTTCAAATCCTATCATCATTGACCAATTCTATTGCGACTCACCAAAGTCGTGCCAGAATCAGGTATTCTTCTCAATTGTCATGTTTTCAACTGATAATCTATGAGTTTTTAAAGGAAAAAACTAAGTTCTCTCCAATAGTTGGGAAAGTCAATGTAACAAAATGTCATTTGCTGTTGACATCATAGACATCTGCAGTTGGGATAAGTGAGATAGTTTACCGGAATGTTAGTGGTACTTCAAAGAGCCAAAAGGCAATCAAATTTGCATGTAGCGACAACGTGCCCTGCAGCCACATTGTTCTGAACAACATCAACTTAGAGACCAGAGATGGTACTGCTGAGGTCTACTGCAATTCTGCCACAGGGATTGGTTATGGTTATATTCATCCATCAGCGGAGTGCCTGAACTCCTCTGGCAAGAAAATTGAGAAAATGGAGGCCATGCTCCACGAATCAAAGGAAGAATACCTCGTTCATACTGAGCTATGAATTGACTTCCACATGCCATTTCTCCAACATGATGATTATTGAAGCAGATAATCTTATTATACATCCTGTATTTTAGTGCTTACTTACTGATTTGAGTAATCTCAGATTCTGAGATTTCTAACTAGGTAAGGTAACAGCTAAATACTATTTTACAGGGATTCGTTTAAAGATATTTATAAAAATGATATATTGTATCCTTGAGTTTTCTTCCATGATACATTCAATGTAATACACAGATTTTATGTTTTGTGTGCAAATATAATGAGAAGGTTCAAGAAGGCCAGTTTCTCATTTCTTGTTCTTCAGAACCAGTGTTTTAAAAGGCGTGCGCGTAAGGCGAGGTGTTTTACATATGCCTCAGCGAGGCGTAAGCCCCGAGGCGCGGGGCGTAAGCCCCATAGGTATTTAATTTTTAATATTTTAAAAAATAATATAATTACATTAAATATTTATAAACAGGTAAAATTGCATAAAAAAATGAAGAAAACTATAAATATGTGACACACACACACACATAGGTGTGTGCGCGCGTGTACGCTTCATTTCCACAAAAAACTAGTCAAAATAATCTATTATACGCTACTTAGAAGCTCAAGTAACTTGAGTCGGAAAGAACAAAGTTTTCTACATGAAGGATCAAAAAGGATGACTAACCTGCTATTTGAACTTTGAACTTGCTGCTATGAAGGAGAATGAAGTTCTCTGTATTTGTAAAAAAAATTGAATATTCGTTGCTTTTGGGAGATATTAGCAGACTAGCGGACAAGATAAAGAATTGGGAAAGACCATGAATTGGGGCTTCAATCAATAAAAAAGGTTTTGACTTTTAAATTTAATACATTTCAGTTCCTTTTTAAAACTTTTGAGTAATTACCAAGTTGAATTTTAAGAATTTGGGTATTATATGAAGGACTTATTCAACAAATTTGTTTTAATTTGAAAAATTTTAGGGGCTTTATCCTCAAACGCCCGGGCGCCCCGAATCGCTGGGCGTACGCCTCTTGAGACTTTCGCCGCACACCATCGCCCCAAGGCGTTTTTGGTGCGCCTCGGCCCATGGCTCGCCCCGAAAACGCCTTTTAAAACACTGTTCAGAACTCCAACTCCACTCTAGTTAAACGCGAAGGGACCCACCATCCCACCACTCTCCTTGGTGACCACACATTTTACAAAGCATTTTCTTCTTCTCTAAACCTTTAATGTACTCCTTTTCTCAGAATTAATAAACAACTCCGAATATTTTAATTTTCTTTATACATTTGGATTTTTCTCCAATTTCGTTTCTAACATTGATCATGCCCTCAACCCATGGTTCATGAGTATCATACATTCTGTTAGCAATTACAATCTACTCGAAACACTGGCCGGATACTATTTCATGTTTAACCAAAAAATAGTTTTTGTGGTCAAAGTGAATAAAAGAATAATTCGGGTTTTTAAAAATCAATTTTACTTCACTTTACCTAGTATAAAAGAATAAAAAATATTAGAAAGAGAGACTCACAGAATAAGGGAAAAGAAATCTTATGGATAGTCGTAGCCTCCTTCCAATAGGAAAGAACAGGATCTTCCAATAGTGGAGAATAGAAAGAATATTAACATGTTTACCTTGAAAATGGTAATTACAATTAGATTTGATTTTGTGGTTCTAAAAATACGTGATTTATTTTTATGCTAGTTGTTAGGCAATAGATGCTAAGTGTGAGCTAGAAAAGTAAAATAAGAGCTTGAGGATAGTATGCTATGCAAACCGAATGACCACGAATCGGGGTTTCAAGTTGGCCTACGCTGGGCCTCGAGGTCGAGCTAGAATGCTTGAGTGGGGCTGTCCAATGAAGGACTAACAGACCTAAGGGCCTTGATGATGGCTCTTGATGATCAATGATGAATAATAAATGAAGAACAATCAATGAAACACAATAAATCAGAGGAAAGACAATGGAGAATGTTTAAGTTAGAGAGTAGAGAATGTTCTTGTTCTTGTATTGAATATCATATCGTCTTACAAAATGACAAGGGTCCCCTTTATATAGGAGGGAGAATCCCAACATAGTACATATGCATTTATTACAAAGTTAAACAGCTGGTACAACTATTTAATGTCACGGTACAGACTTGTACTAGTCTTGTAGACCTGGTTAGCTTTAACCATGTGCCTTTTGAGAATTTTTCGCTTGTCTAAGATAGCCACCGATTTGCACTGCTCCGAAGTCGAGCATTGGGAACCCTCGGGTTCGAACCTCGAGCTATGCTTTGAGGCTTCTGAAGACGGGCTGTGAAATGCCATAATGATCACAAAATTGGGCTCTCTGATTTTAGCCGTACACATAACAATTGATAGTATTACTTCGTGAATTTCTTGATGCGAATGCAAGATATGGTAAGGGGACTTATATAAGGATACAATTTGTAACTGTATCGCCCTATTTACTTCCTGCCTATTACTAGCATTTATTACATTGATTACCCGTTACTAGGGGCGGCTCAAGCGCACGTGGGACCTAAGGCGAAAGTTTAATATGGGGCCTAAGTATTTATAGGAACTATCTATTCTTCTAGCTATTGGTGCCAAGATGGTTTTGAATAACCGAATGCATATTTTCTTGTTGACATATTTATATTTATATAAAAAAAACAATATGTACAGAGTAAAATTAATAAAATAATAAATAACAAATGAAAATAACACTAGAGAAGTTAGAATGATATTACCCAATGATTGACCGATTCAAGAAATTTGAAGACTTTGATTACAAAATATCTAGTTGTTGGCTTGTTGGAGTCTTGGAGAAAGAAAGAAATCTAATAGAAAGAACTAAGAAGATGAGCATGAATAAAGAGGAAGGAAGAAGATATGTCTTCTGGAATATGAAGAATGAAATGAAATTAAAACGTTGGGTTGGGATTACTTNATATATATATATATATATTTTAAAAAAGAAAGAAAAACCTAAAAACCTATAAAATCTATATTATTCCTAAAAAATGGAGCCCCCAAAAATTGGGGGCCTAAGGCACTGCCTTATCCCATACACTGTTAGAGCCGGTCATGCTCGTTACATGGGTGATTTGTAACAGTTAAGGTAATAACAATCAATCGCGCATAATCAGGGATTATGCTGATTGTTTTCCATATTCGTGGCAATTAATGAACCTCCCATCTTCGTGGCTTTTAGTATCCTTAGTAATCTATTACGTACATGTTTCCTTTTTTTCCAGCTAATAGGCACGATTTTCTCGTAGGCGGTCCCGTGAGTATTACTTATGCCTTCTCCGTTCTTCATTCTCCTTTATTGCTTTAATTTTTATGCCACCAGTCAGCATATCATTTGATCCAAGTGGTGAATTTATTTTCCACCAATACTTTTCATCTGAGAGTTAAATTTGCATGAAGTTTCCTAAATATTTTCTATAAAAGATGAAGTAATTGTTACGACTTGTAAAAGAGTAGAATACCTGACCATTAAAATGTGGTACAAAACTTGTTTTAAAAGACAAATAAACCATTCGTTCACCTAATGAGCATCAAAATGGCTACTTTTTTGGATTTATTCTTTCGGTAAGCTAAGACGTATCTCGAAGAAGACTCCAATACTCCAAATTAGTCCGAACAAGAAAAAAGACCGTAAAAAATAACACGGAACGTTGGTTATGATTATCATTCATGTGGCAAACAGGCGGCTTGACACAAGTTACTATGATTAAGTGACCGACCCTTCATGTTGCAGCAATCACATATTTGGTTTTTGGTACAATGTCCTTGTGGCCTTGTGGCCTTGTAGGCCAACAGACAAAAGACTGATGCACTTTATTTTTTTTTTTCTTGTGACGAGGTTGTTCGAAAAAATCTGCATATACCTCGATTAATTCATTCATCAACTTGTTATAATTCACAAGTGCAGACTCGAGTAAATCTAACCACAATGTTAAAGCACAGAGAATCACACTAAATGTTGTTCCTTATTACTGAGTTTCAAACTTGAGAACTTCATGTTGTCATTCAAATATCTTAGGGCGCAAGCACAACTCACTAGCATAACTTTGTCTTGTTGGCAAGTTATACAATGCCTAAAAAGTATCTAAAAGGGGACGAAAGAAAAAAAAAATGTAACTCTCAACCATATATATACAC